AAATTTCCAACACATTAGCCATGTCTTCTACTCCAAACAATGGATCAAATTTAGACTTAAAGAATCTTTATGGGCACAATATATGCACAAAAAATATTTTAAAGATATACACCCTTCTAATGTTCAAAAAAAGCTTGGGGACTCTAAACCTTGGAGAAATTTGCTGAAATTAAGGGAGCAAGTTGAAGAATACTTCATTTGGGATGTTGGTGCGGGGGAGATATATGTTTGATTGGATAATTGGCTACTAGATGGCAAAATTAATAACTTGAACCATACTGATATCAAAGATAACCTCAAGATCTCTGAATGCTGGAGAGATTTGCAATGGGATGTGGCAAAACTTAACAATCTAGTGGCTCAAGATACACTCCGACAAATAATTCATATTCATGTAGATTCCAACAAAAAAGATAAACTCATTACCAAGAACCCACTATTCAGTCTATCTCTAAATATATCTATCTGTCTTCATTCAGTTAGCACCTGGCGAATTGGGGGGAAAAGATTCGACAGAAATTTCTAACACCATCAATGTCATCTTCAGCTGGAATTTATTCAAAAAATTTCTTCCCAATGATGATATTCTAAAGTTAAAAGGCCTTAGGGGTCCTTCAAGATGCCATTTGTGTAGAGAAGAGGAAGCAGAAATCAATCATCTTTTGTTCAGATGCATAACTGCAAAACCAGTATGGAGGAAGAACTTGGCCTTCACTAATTTGGAGGAGATATGCTTTAACTTGACAAACTTGGAGGACAGACTTGGAGGAGTGTTGGAAAGATATGATTAATCATAAACTATAGGTAATTCCTCTCATAGTTTCTTGGTTTATCTGGATGTCCAAAAACAGCTCCAAACATGATAACAAAAGAATATGAGATTATAACAAATTGTATCGCGTATTTTATAAAAACCAGTAAACTCCAAAAATTCAATCTGCCAAACAAACACAGATTAGCTGAAGAGTAACTCTACCACACAATAGAAGAAAAAGTGAATACAATAAGTGAAATGGAGAAAACCTAAACCACCATGGGTCAAAATAAATACTGATGGTAGCTTTGTATGAATAGAGGGACTATGTAGCGATCACATAGAAAAATGTTTATGGTTCTGTCAGTCACCTATATATGCAGAAAAAACTTTACAAGCTAAAGCAATTGCAATTTTCTTGGCACTCAAATTTGCAGTTTAAAAGCAATTGAATAGCATACACATGGAGCTAGACTAAATGCAATTATTACAAATGATACAAAATTAATCATACATTCCTTGGCAACTTATTCATAGGCTTAAATAGATTATAGCTACAACTTTAAAATTTCAAGTCCTGTGGAGCCATATTCCAAGAAAAGGTAACCAACCAGCAAATTGGTAAGCTAAATCAGGTAACTCTACTGGTATTACTTTCTTTAGTAATGCTCCAAACCCCACTTTAAAAGTTTTCTTACATCGGGATCTGCTTGATATCCTCAATATTAGATGTGTGTGTGTGTGTGTGTGTGTGTGTGTGTATTTCTGTTGATACATTCGAGTAATTAAACGTTTCACAAGTACTAAACTAGATTTATTGTCATAACTGATAATTTCCACAGGTTCATAAAAAATCAAACTATTGAAGCTATGATATATATATATATATATATATATATTAAGCTTTCAGGTAAAGATTAAGATTAGATTTATGCTTGGTTTAGGTATACGCTTTAGCTTGGTTTAGATGGGTTAAGGCTTGATTTGGATGGATTGGATTGAGTAGGGCTTGACTTAGGTTGGTTAGGGTGAGTAAGGGTCAGTTTAGGTTGATTAGAGTGAGCGGGGTTTGTTTAGGGTGTGTAGTGGGTTAAATAGGCTCAATTTGGGCTAGCTTGGGTTAGTTTTTGGTCTATTGGGTTAGTTTAGTTCATTTAGGGTTAAATTAGTCATGTAGAGAAAGAATTGAGTGTGCAATGGGTTAGGTAGGCTCAACTAAGATAAGCTTGGGTTTGTGAGTGTGCGCTCGGGTTCTGTGGCTTTAGGCTTTAGGTAGATTAGAAGGTTAGGGTTAGGCTTTGTGTGTGTGAGTGTTGGTGTGTGATGGTTCCGATTATGATTATGTTTAGGCTTAGGGTATTGAATTAAGTTAGGAAAGAGAGGAGAGTGGATGTAGGGCTCGACCATCGGAAAAATGGGGGAAGAATGGGTGAAAGGCTCAGTCTTAAGGTTGGGATGATAGTGAGAGTAATGTAGGTCTTGATTTTGAGAAGAAGTGGAGAGAAGAGTGAGTGTAGGTCTTAGTTTTAGGAGTGCGTGTAGGTCTCAATTCTAAGAAGACAAGGGAAGACAACTAAGTGTATGTCTTAGTTTTAGGATTAGGATGGGAGTGAGAGCCATATAGATCTCAATTTGTGAAGAAGTTGGGAGACGAGTGAATGCTACGATTGGCTGTGGGGAGAAATGGGAGAAGAAATGGGAGAGAGGCTTGACCATGGTGTGACAAAAAGAGAAAAATATGAGAGGCTCCCATGAAAGGAAAAGGGACGGAAGACAAAAATTTACCAGAATTCTACAACCTACAACATGTAAAATTTATAGAAATGAAAAGTGGTGAAGGGTCTATATCTTTGCCTTGGAAAATCTTTTGTTTTCCTTGCCTTGGAAGATGAGTTATCCTTGCTTGCCTTAGTTCTATATTTGATTCGAAGAGAAGAAGAGAGAAGGATGTGCCTTCCCTCCATGCTTGCTCTCAATTTGGATGGGAGAAGAGAGGTGAAGGAGAGGAGATGGCACTCGATTTGAATGGGGAGAAGAGAGAGAAAGACAAGTTTTGGGTTCATGAGAAGAGAGGAATAAGGGAATTACGAGTGGGTTTCAGTTGGATGAGGGGAGGAGTTAGTGGGGTGAGTTGGAGGGAGTCGTTAAGGGGATATAGATAGAAATTTAAAATTTGGAGAGAGAGACTTTTAAAAGTCAAAGTACTTATTTACGGTGACTGGGATGAAAACATAAATATACCATATTTAAAAGAAGAGAATGCAAGGATTTCAATGGTCCAATCCATTTTCAAAGAGGCCTTTAGCTCAAAATATGTCAAATTTTAAGTAACTAGGATGGAATTACAAAAAAATTTTACTTGGGCTCAGTTAATAGAGGAAAATACAATAAATTCAATGGTGCAATTGATTTTAGTCAAATTGGACCCAATCTCATGTTATTTCATTTTAAAATGTGGGCCCCACTCTATGAGAGATAATTTTGGTGGACTTTGAGTATGAACATTTGGTTTGTTTTAATTGACTAATTCAAGTATTTTTAGATCATATTTAAGTTGATTCAAGTTTGATTTCAATTTAAGTTCATTTGAGTTGATTATCACGATTATTCTTTTTATTATCTAAATTATCATCAATATTATTATCGGCTCAATGAGATAACAAACAGAGTTAAATTTGAGCATGAAGAGGTTCATTTGAAAGATTTTAATGATTCAAATGCATTGACAAAGTCTTTCGAAATATAATGATTCTATAAAAAATTTAAGTCCAAGTGATTTGCATAAAAATCTTAAATGCAAAATTCTACATAAAAATAGTATCCGGTGACCATCAACGTGATTTGCATGCTGCTCATATGTAATTATGAACATCATGCAACTTATGGATTGTAATTTCGATCACCGGATTGGCCTTTGAAAAAAAATGTTAGTTTTAGGGTGTGTGAAACATTATTCATGCATAAAAAATTATACAGATTTATTTGCATAATCCTTATATGTAATATTTAGCATTAATTTTTGCATTACATTTATTTTATGTAGCATTAATTTTTAGGCAAACCACACTCCTAATGCATACATAAATATAGCCTTCAAATTCTCATGCTTTAAAATAATTTTTTTTTTATATTTACATATCTTGAAAAAATTATACTGAAAATTCTGCATTTTTACCCATCATCAAGCAACATAGCTTGAATGGCTAAGTTTTAAATCTTCTTTTTTTTCTAAATTTATATTGCCTAAAGTTTTATACAAGTGCTAATATAATCCCAACTATCTACATGGAGCCATGCTTCTAGAATTTATAAAAATATGATAATAATCCAACTCTTTTAAAATTGAGCTCCAATAATTCCATACGAGTACTATTTCAATCTTATTTTTAACAATCTTGGAACTAATCTGACACTTTTAAAAGCTCCAGACTCAAACAACCTGATGTAAATAATCATGAACTATTTTAACACTTATATTTGCATAAAGAACAAGATTGCTAGATTTTAATGTGCTTTGTTTGTTTTAGGAAATAATCTTTTCTATTTAAGAATCCTAGAATAATGTAGAGACTTATTCCCTATAAACTTCTTGTATGCATAAATTTAAATTTGAATCACTACCTTTATGATGGTTCAACATTGATTTAAAATTCAAATTTAATTAGACTACTTATACAAATTTATTCAAATCAATAAAAAAAAAAAAAATCAAACTACATTTGATAAATTTCTAACAGGATTTGAACCTGTTTCATACAAAAGTTTGAACCTTGTCCCAACATTCAAGCATAAAGCGCCTGCTCCAACAAAATTCACATTTTGTCCAAAAATACATAGAATCAAGCTAAAACCTTACTTGAACAAAAATACATAATTATTCAAATATATTTCTACCATTCATTGAACATTATTCAAATTTGTTTCTTCTAACCCAATTGTCTATTCCACATTCAAATTCTAATAAATAAACTCAATTTTCATTAATTCTTACCCTCACAATAAATATAATGCATATCAATCATGTAATAAAAACAATAGAATAATCACCCATTGCTACATGATGTCAAATGAAATAACCTCATCAAGCTAGAGGATCATGATAACTTTACACTTCTATAAACAAAACTCGCATAAGAAATCCGATAAATCTACAAGATCTATGAGAGAAAATGTTGAATTGCATAAAAGAGAGGAACGAATAGCAATTCTTGACGTTACAAATGGGAAATCAAACAATATTTCACGCGTAATACGTTATGGATAAAAAAAAATTTATTTTCATCCTAGATAAACATTGTGGGATATTTAGTACTACAAATTGCAGACGTTAATCGTTCCAAAGTCCTACTTACATTACAGGAGCTTCATATGATGGATATGTCAATATTTTCCAGTACTACAAATTGCAGATCCAAGCATTAGTAATATTATAGAACACTTTGTTTTTCACAAATTATAATTAAATAAGAAAGACCATACAATATACTATCTAAAAGCACATGGAACGGCTAAGAGAGCATTGCTATTGGAGATGAGTGAATTGAAAGCCAATGGGAAGGTTGCATGGGCATTCACAAGAAAAGGGATTGTATTGCATAAATATATGTATTTTATGCAGATTTTACAGCCATACTACGCTCAACAACAGACAGTAGTCTTCCGTCGAAGACCTGCGGAGATCTCAGCTGGGGGTAGACCTGCAAAATAGTAGATCTGGTCAGACGAAAGTGCAGAAATGAAATTCTTATTCTCATACCAAAACGAGACAATAATCTCATAGACTAACATGCTTGGTTTCCTCGTGAATTTACAATGGTAACGATGGTAAAAGAATTTGCTCAGTTTGAAATTTGAAAAAACATATTGATATTTTTCACAAGCACATTAAAGCTTCATCACCCAACAATATCAGCAACTTCGTGGTAAATTCACCTGTCAGAACACATGATGATATGGAATCTTCTGATGCGGATGGAGGGGGAGCGTGTGTGTGTTGAGAGAGAGAGAGAGAGAGAGAGAGAGTATTTCCTCTGCACAAACTTCGAAGTTGAACTGAAGAGATACTACTGGCGAATGCAAACAAAAAATTCACCCAAAATATAAGAGATCCCACTCTGGAAAAACTTTGATCGTGCTATTCTACAACCAAAAGATTGGACAAAAAACAAAGCTTGCTATATAAATAAGAGAAGCTGCACATATATTTCATTTATATTTATCCAGACAGACAGATAGACACACACACATACATGCATACATACATACAAACATACAAACAAACATAATGCACACAAGCATTACTCTTTGCATCAGTTTAAGCCTGCCGTAAGCATATACGAACCACAACCAAATGTAAGAATGTTGAGATGTGGAGCCTGAAGGAGCACCCACAAAACCACAAGGAAGTCTTACAATCCCAAGCAGAAGGGAGAGGCGGTGTGCCTACATCATACTGGCGTAGCTATGCCAGCCAAAAGTAACCACGCTGGCGTAATCACACCCAAATCGGTGTATCTACGCCGCGGTCCTTCGACTCCCAACTTCAAAACATAGCAATAAATAATCACGTAGAGGAGCCGTATAACTACGTTGCACACGATTTTTCTCCCATTTCAATGCTTAAGTTTTCAATTCATAGTGGTGTTTCTCATGCTTACGTGCAATGAACTCTCGACGGAGCATGACAGTTACAGTGTATTTGAAAGGTGAATTTTCATCGTGTGAATTCGCTTGTGCGATCAATAAAGGATTTGAAGCGAAATTCTGGTAGCTTGTAAGTTCCAGTGTTATAAAGAAAATATCTGAGTGGTAAAAATCTCTATACATTTCTCCTTTCATCATGAATTTTGGTGTGTTGTGGTGTGGCTCCGTGATTTTTTTCTATTCTCCAGTTTTCCACATTAAATCTTGGGGTACTTTTCTGTGATTACTTTTTTGTGCATTTTTTTCAATAGTTTGTTCCATATCTCTCGAATAAGTGTGATCCAATTTTCTACGGTATGGCTTTGATTTCAAATCGTTCAAAGCCCTTGGTTTTCCATCCCAACATATAGTATCACAACGAGGTTTCTTCTTTTATGACTTTTCATTCGAGTTGAAGCAACGACTACGAAGCGATGTAAGAAAAGAAGAAGTTCAATGAATCTAACTTTGCATTCAACAAAATACAAGTAAATATTTCTTGTATCAAAAGAAATTGTATTTGCCACTATAAGGAATCACCAAGAAACTTGAAATGAAGGCTCCGGAAGAATGGAAAGTATTGGATCGAACGAACATAGGTATGATCCGTCTTTCATTTTTTTTGTCTGTTGCGTTCAATATAATGAATGAGAAAATTACGGTGGATCTCATAACGACACAGATAAAAATGTATAAAAAACATTCTACTTCATAAGATTTTTCTGTTGAAGATGTTATTCAATATGAAGATAAAATGTAGTTCAGTGGCGGAACACTTGAACAATTTCAATTCTGTGACTAGCTAACTACGTTTTGTATGTATCAAATTTGATGATGAGATCAAGGCACTGTTAATTTTGTCTTCATTGTCGGATTTTCACGGTCGGGCATAACTCTTACGGTAATATGAAATTGACCTTTGATGATACAAGTGCCGAATGAAAAAGTTCACAGAAAGATAACAAATGAAGAATCATTTGGTTCTATATCGAATGTTGAAAACAAGGAATTTTGACAGAAATACATAGAAAGACAAGTTCAAGTCTAGAAGAGGAAAATTCAGGTTAGACAAAGGAAATGGTAGAGGAGAATATTGGAAATGTGAAAGGAAAGATCATTTCAAGAAGGATTGTAAACCCCAGAGAAGACTGGTGGTAGATAAAAATAGATGAATTTCTCTAATAATGTCTCCACAAGTGAAATCCAAGACGAATCATTGGTTTTATCCCTAATCAGTGTTGAATATTAAATAGTAGATTTAAGTCTCTTTTCATGCCTTCCCCAATAAAAAATGTTGTTTAAAAATTACACACTGAGTGCTATATGAAAAGCTTAGTTGGAAGATAACAAAGCCTGCAGTATCGCAGGAAAGAGGATGTTAATATCAAGTTGTCTAATGAAAAAGTCTAGAAGCTTAGTGAAGTAAAACATGTTTCAAGTCTGAAGAGAAATCTAATCTCGATATGCCAGCTGACAAAGTCAAAATACGTGACTACTTTCACAGATAATTCGTGGAAGGTGATTAGGGGGCGACAATGGTGATGGCTCGAGCCAACAATGAAAGCACTCTTTACCCAATCAATGAGATGACAATCTATTGATGTGACTAAAACCAACACTGATGCAGATATTTGACATCACAAGCTTGGCTATATTAGCGCTACAAAATGAAATCCCTACTTTCAAAGAATAAGCTTAAGAGTTTTTAATATATGAATTTAGTGTTATGTGAAAATTATGTATATGGCAAACAGAAGAAAGTTTTTTCTCCAAAGATGAGTCATTGGTGAAGACAAAGAAGCTAGAGTTAGTCAATATTGACGTATGGGTCATAATCCAACTCAGTTTATTGGCGGTTCTCACTATTTTGTCACTTTCATTAACGATAACATCAAAAAATTATGGGTGTAATTCATAAAGCATAAATCTAACTCTTTTGAAGCGTTTAAGAAGTGAAAAATTATGATAAGAAATGAGAAAGACTTAAGGTTGAAGTGTCTCAGATCAGATAATAGAAGTGAGTATTGTGATCAGCGGTTCATACATTTCTATGAGGCAGAAGGATCAGACATGAGTTCACTGTTCTAAGAAGAACACAACAGAATGGAGTGGTTGAGCGTATGTGTCGACCGTCAAATTTGGAAAGAGATATTTGATTTAATATAATATATATATAGTTTTGAAATGTAATTGTGTAATTGTTTAATTTTTAAAAAATATGATACTGAATCAATCTTATACATGCAATAGTTTAAATGATCGATCATAACACCGCAAATAAGAAAGAAACACACTTATCCCTGCGCATTACTTGATAGTGAGACTCGATTAAATAAACTACAGAATTTATGACATTCGTCTGGTCTGCGAACCTTTTATTTTAACAGACAAGTTCTCCTACCTAATATTAAAAATTAGATAGGGTTTATATTACCTGAGTTCTTAAAGCTCATTATAAAGGCAAACCCCTATAGTTAATTACCTCTCAAATAACTGAAGTCACTTAAGAGAACTCTCAATGATGATCAGAGGTATCTATCTTCATGAATTTAAAATTTAGGGTTTCCAAAGTTGGACATACTAATGTCAAGTGGGGAAAGGGACCAAATGGAAATATTTATTTTTTGAAACAAAGGAAAAAAAGTTGGGGATGTCACGAATCCTAAGAAGAACCTCAGTGACTTCCCAAACTATCATATTGTTTGGCTCCAATTTCAAGATGTTATTTGATATTTCATCTTGCCAATTTTATTATTTAGGACTTATATTAGCATGATACGGTCATATAAATGACCTGAAAGATATGAGTGTTTACGCCGTAACGGACGACAACCTCGGAACCTAAAGCGAGTTAGGACTTAGGTTGCACAACCTGGCTGTGCAAAAGCCTAAACGATAAAGTGAGGATTTATGTCGCGCTAGGCAGACTACCTCGAAGTTCTATGACTTGTTGTTTAATTCTAAGGAAAGGTTTGCTGTTGTAGGTCGTCATCCTCCACCTGCTGCTTCTCCGTCGTCACACAAAGACTTGCTCCAAGCTCCGAATTATAGCGACTCTAAGTTTAGTTTATGTTTTGTATTTGCAAATATAATTACTGTTGGGTCTCAAGGGCTCGGTGTACCTCCTAACATATGTCTTACTGTTCTTCACCCAAGGAGTTTAGCAGATACATTAAAGTAAATAATGCAATAAAAAGAACAGCGAATTGCAGGAAACTTAAACAAATTGATTGCAGGAAACTTAAACGAATTGCAGGAAACTTAAACAAATTGTTAGAAAATTCGATATAATAAAATCATAATAAAAAACACAAACAAGTAAAACAAAACACAATGTCACGTATAGAGGACCAGGAGCATGTGACTTATACCTGACATTGGAGATGTCCCCAATTGCTAGGAGGATTTGAGTGTAAGGCTCGAGCTCAAATCCCGTGTAAGGCTCAAGCTCAAATCCCAGAGCATTGGGTTTCACTGTAGAAATTTCACTGACGGAAATTTCACTACTTGATTTAATTAAAATGAAGTTATAAAAGAATTTTGGTGTATCATTATGTTTAGTGAATTAAGGTCAAATGTCTAGTTTCATCATTCATTTGAAAATTAGGTAAACGAACTCTTACCTAGAGTGTGCTCCTAAAGTCTAAGAAGCCTATGCCTCTAACTTGAGCTTGCAATGATTTAAAGTGTTTTGCTTTCAATGAAGTGTTTTCCAACTAATCCTCAAATATTTTTTAAGTGTTTTCCAAATAATTAAATCAGAAGTTTATATTTTTGACTTAACCATTATAAAAAAACAAATCAATGGAGAAGGAGGCCAACCAACTTCTAAAATGAAATCAACAAAGCAAAGGGGCAGAAACCGCAAGTAAATCGGCCCATATCGATTAAAGGAGTTTAAATTCTTTCAAAAATAATGATCTATTCATCATATCGATGAATAAAAACTTGAGTTTAAATTCTTTCAAAAATAATGATCTATTCATTCTCAAAATGTGCGTAAAAGCCTCCAAAA